GGCTACCCAGACAACAGGCTTAGGGAGATGCCTGCTTCTTGCCCTACATTTTTCCATTTTATGACAAATGACACAGAAAAACAGAGATAAGGAAAAATAGCAACTGTCTTTGGGAGGAGAAGATGAATAAATCAATTAGTACTCAGTAGCTCATACTAGGTACTCATAGCTAAAAGTCTCCCAATTCCAGAGAATGCAGCCTAAGGGGCTACAGGTGGAGATCAAATTAAGATTTCCCATTGTTTCAGAATTTAGATTTGTTTTAGAATTTAGCTAGAATCAGATGGTGAAAATTTCAAGCGTCCCTGAAATCAAAACCCTTACAGTGAAGGCCCAGCCAAGGCTTTCTCCTAATGGTTGATGTAATTCCCCTGAGGCTGACAGAGGTTTGGTGGGACCCTTAGCCACAAATGAGAGTGCAACCTGCATTTCTGCCCATCTCGGACTGCAAAATGGAGTGCAACCCCAATTTTGTTTTATGCAGCCTTCTGCATGTTGTTACATAATTAAAGAAAAAATATCATTCTGTCAATGTACATCATGCCAGGAAGCACAAACTATGCTAAGTGAGCAGTTGGGTTATCTTCATCTGCACAACACTGTGAGGTGTGGGGCACCATTACAGCCACGTGACCCACGAGGAAATCACAGGATGTAGCCCCTTGTCGCAACCAGACCAGTGGTGGCACCAGGACTGGAGGAGGCCACGTCTGACAGAGACAATGCTGGCAACCACAGCCCTGACCTATTGTCCCTGGACCAACAGCGGTATCTCTGAGGAGCTTGGAACCCAGTCCATTCTAGAGCCATGGAATGAAGTGCCAAGCTTTTTGGGGTAGAGGTAGGAATAGAGAATTTTCCTAACTCAAGGAGGCTTTCAAAGCAGGAAGTGTGTGTGATAACCATGGCAGAGAAGGGAACTTCCCAGTTACTCCCAGGGATTATGTGGGCCCCTTGGGCAGAGCTCCTCAAGGGCAGGATTGCCAGAACATTCCAAATATCTCAGAGCCCTTAGACAAGCAATGCCCAAATGCAGAGGTGAGGGGATGGTGGCCTCCAACAGAAGTCAACAACCTGGGAAAGAACATACAGCCAGAGAAGAGGCAGAACCTACAGAAGATGGCCTGAGGTTCCCAGCAGCCACTTTCTCAGGTGTCCCCAAAAGCTCACCCTCCGTGGAAGCACATGGGAGAAACGCACACACACTCCCTCACGGAGCGATAACAAAGGGGAAAACAACAGCTGACGCCAACAGTAGCAAAGCAGCAGACAGTGGAGACAATGGACCTGGCCAAGGCTGTTCCTCCTTTCAAGTCTGTGGTAGGCTTCGCGCGACATACAGGAGAGAACCTCACTGTCCACAGCAGGGAGTCAGCGGAAGAGCTAGAGTGGTAAATTTGAAAGGAAGGAAGAACAGATGGGGAAGGACCAAAAAGTAGAAAACGGAGCTAGAAGCTCGGGATCAAGGCAGCTCTCCTGGACTCCCAAATAGAATAAAACCCATACACCGTAACTCCCCACCACATATTACAAAGTCAATTTGGTAGAGTCAGGAAAATGGCAGAGAGAAGAAAATATGAGGGATAATGGAACCAGCTTACCCTGAGGAAGCACAGCCATTTGGGGGATATCTGGGGAATTTGAAAACTTGCCTTCTCCCGCCTGGCATACCCTTATATTCCTTACGCCGTCCACTCACCTTCTCTAGAACCACCCCCACCGCCCTGCCCCCTGTAGCCCCCCAGAGCTCCTCTACACAGAACTTGCACTCAAATTCATGCAACAGTCCTTGACTCGGTCCCAGTGGCCCAGGAAGTCTCCTAGAGCAGGAGTAACGGACGTCTAAACAGCTGGCCCCGGAGCCGCGTCATCCACGTGAGACACGCCCCACGCAGGACAGCACCGGCGTTACTTTCCTTCCGGCCCATGCCCCGCCCCCTGCGCACAACGTCCCCGCCCACTCTAACCTCCCAGCCAATGGCGGTCAGCAGACATAACAGGAAGTGACGTCCTCACCCTCCAGGTTTAGGCTGCCTGTGAAAGGTAAGGCCTCGTGTCCGTTGTTTTCTCTTCATCCAGAGATAAACTTTGAAAACGGGGTCGAGCTCTTGAAAATGAAAAGCACAATAGTAGCGTAAGAACAACAACAACAAAGATTTGCAGGATCATGCCGAGGACGTATGCTAGAGATCAGAGCAAAAATTTTAAGGGACTAAAAGGGGAGGAAAGCTACTCGCAAAAGGCGGGTCTGGTAAGTCCAGGTTTGAGGAACAGGATTTCCAGGAACAAAGAGCTGTTACCACAGTCACAAGCTCACCACGGAGAAGGAATTGGGAGCAGCATCCCACAGTTTAGTGGGAAGAGGCAGGGAGGGAAGGGCCACACACCTTTGTGGCAGGAGACCCCACAGAGCATGCCAAGTCCTCCATGCCTTTGGCCTCGGCTGCTGGGCACCAAAACCAGGTAAAGGCCTTTGCTACAGGATCCAGAGAAAAACACTCTAAAACACTATTTAAACTGGGTGGGATAATGACATCTTTATTTTGACTAATCTCTTTAAGAAATTAACACAATTTAATTAATTGCTTTATTGTGGTAACATTAGTTTATAACATCATGTAAATTCCAGGTGTACATCATTATATTTTGACTTCTGTATAGACTACATCGTGTTCACCACTGAAAGTCTAGTCGCCGTCCGTTACCATACACACGTGCCCCTTTACCCTTTTCGCCCTCTCTCCATCCTCTTCCCCTCTGCTAACCAAGAGTCTGTTCTCTGTATCCATGAGTTTGTTAGTTTATCTCCCACATATGAGTGAAATCACTTCCTTTTGAATGTGGGTACATGAGAGTAATGTAACTTTGTCACCAACAAAGAATTCCAATTCTTATGATATCACGTTATGGTAGCTACAGATATGTCCACAGGATTCTTGGGCTCTTTCTGTGGAGCTGGCCAAGTGTGCCAAGGCAGAAGAGCCCTGGCTGAGGGAGCTTGCGGCTAGAGAGACGTTGTCGAGAGGATCAGTGCCTGCCTTCAGCTGGGTAATCCATGAGCTCCTTCATCTGTTAACTGAAGGGTTGGTGGTTCAAGCCCAATCGGGTTTTGACCGATTCCAGGTTCTTTTCAGATATGCTTGGGCTGCACATTGTCTCTTAACTAGCTTGTCTCTCAACCTTATCCTCAATCTCCGTACTTTAAATCAGACGTGGAAAAATCCTGCTTGAACTTGCAAGGTTCATGTTAGTTACTGAAGGGTTTTGGTAGAAAGAATTTTGTTTCAGGGGTAAAAGCAAGTTTTGGAGTTCCAGAGCCTACGTTTCTTACAGACTGTGTGAATAATCTTTCTTCCCGAGGCTGGGTTTTTACAGCTGCTCGTTTCTGGAAACCTGATGTCAATACCCTTAAGTTAAATCATCGGGAACACACGTCTTATTGGACAAGTTGCATTTTTTATTCCCTGCAGCCAGAAAAAACACACCCCGTGGTCTAACCTATGAAAGGACTTGGGCTTCGGTTGGGTGATTTGGGGAGGATGGGAGGAAGCAGAGTGTGCCCCCTAGTGAATAGTGTGGTCCGCACGGGCAGTTCTATGATTGGAGTAAAGAGGTAACAGTCATTTCCTATGGAAAGAGGAGGATATTTGGGATTTTGTAGATTGCACAGTGACCTTGCCTTT